TTATTTTTTACTTCATTTGTATGTATTATACAGCTACGAGTGCCACTATGGCCTGGTTCACAGCCGAGTTTGCCAGATATGCAGAAAAAACTTTCCCACCAACCACTTGCTTGACCTGCACATCCTAGAGTGGCATGACACCATGTTTGCACTGCTAGCTCAGAAACAACCAATGGTAAGATGATCTTTGTGGGGTATAACTATAGCTAGAAACAACCAATGGTAAGATGATCTTTGTGGGGTAAAGCTATAGCTAGAAACAACAAATGGTTAGATGATCTTTGTGGGGTATAACTATAGCTAGAAACAACAAATGGTTAGATGATCTGTTTGGAGTATAGCAATAGCTAGAAACAACAAATGGTTAGATGATCTGTGTGGGGTACAGCTAGAAACAACAAATGGTTAGATGATCTTTGTGGGGTATAACTATAGCTAGAAACAACAAATTGTTAGATGATCTGTTTGGAGTATAGCAATAGCTAGAAACAACAAATGGTTAGATGATCTGCGTGGGGTACAGCTAGAAACAACAAATGTTTAGATGATCTTTGTGGGGTATAACTATAGCTAGAAACAACCAATGGTAAGTTGATCTGTTTTTGGGTTATAGCTATAACTAGAAACAACAAATAGTTAGATGATCTGTGTAGGGTATAGCTATAGCTAGAAACAACCAATGGTAAGATGATCTTTGTGGGGTATAGCTATAGCTAGAAACAACTAATGGTTAGATGATCTGTGTGTGGTATAGCTATAGCTAGAAACAACCAATGGTAAGATGATCTGTGTAGGGTATAGCTATAGCTAGAAACAACAAATAGTTAGATGATCTGTGTGGGGTATAGCTATAGCTAGAAACAACCAATGGTTAGATGATCTGTGTAGGGTAAATCTATAGCTAGAAACAACCAATGGTTAGATGATCTGTGTAGGGTAAATCTATAGCTAGAAACAACCAATGGTAAGATGATCTTTGTGGGGTATAACTATAGCTAGAAACAAGCAATGGTAAGATGATCTTTGTGGGGTATAGCTATAGCTAGAAACAACCAATGGTTAGATGATCTGTGTAGGGTATAGCTAAAGCTAGAAACAACCAATGGTAAGATGATCTTTGTGGGGTATAGCTGTAGCTAGAAACAACCAATGGTAAGATGATCTTTGTGGGGTATAGCTGTAGCTAGAAACAACCAATGGTAAGATGATCTGTGTGGGGTATAGCTATAGCTAGAAACAACCAATGGTAAGTTGATCTGTTTGGGGTATAGCTATAACTAGAAAAAACAAATAGTTAGATGATCTGTGTGGGTTATGGCTATAGCTAGAAACAACCAATGGTAAGTTGATCTGTCGGGGCTATAGCTATAGCTAGAAACAACCAATGGTAAGATGATCTGTGTGGGGTATAGCTATAGCTAGAAACAACCAATGGTAAGTTGATCT